ATTTTTAAAAATAGCACAAAACTTACATTCCTTCTTAAAATAGTTTTTTTTTCTTAGAATGGTCTGATTATAAAATTTTAGGTATGTTAATGGAGCTGAAGTTTTTTTTTGGTTGAATTTTTTGGCAGTTCACAAGGCTTGGCTGATGTTCTATATTAGCTTTGCTTGCTACTACCGTGATGATAAGCTATTGACACATATTTAAACCTTGCAACAATCCTGTGAAGTAAGATTATCAGCTTCAGATGACAGATGCAGAAATTGCAATGTGGAAAATTTAGTAAACTTTCTATGTTTTCCCACCTCATAAGTAGCAGTATTAAGATTCAAACTGAGACTCAATAGCTAATGATTTTAAGCTTTCGTATGCTTAGTGATCAATCAACAGGCTTTTTGTGTCTTAATTGAAAGGCCAGCAGTTTACCCTTAGGCCCTGACCTGCATTTGACACTCCCATCTGGCTGGCTCTGATAAAATTTTCTAGTCCTATTGCTTTCTCTTGTTCTACGTATACACTACACTCTTTCCAACCCAGATTGTGTCTTCACACTCATGTTCTCCCCTTGGCATGAAATGGAGCTTAACTTAACAATCTGTTTTATACAATTACTTTAAAAAGACAAGATCATGTACTGATGGGTCCAGAGAAAGTGCTTTCATCTTGCAAGGTGGAGGTCTAACTTCGAATCATACAATCTTTTAATCACACCTTTCGTTTTTAAACCCTAATCCTTATTCTGAACCTTCTGAAGAATCCAGAGCTTCCAAATCCTGAGATATTTCAGCTTTCTAAGAAGGAAATCCATTTTATCCTCCACAGACAGTTGAATTCAGCTCACCCCACCCTCCTCATTTAAGTCATATACTATGGATCCATCTTCCTTTCATTCTCTCATTTGGTCTCTTCTCCTCTCCGGTCTGTTTGTCCTTGTAGGTTTTTACCACCACCACTGCCCTGTTTGATTGTCTTTCAGTGGGGTTTCTCGAAGGAGAGGAATGGATGTGGGTATTCAATTTGTCAGGTTTTATTGGAAGTCTAAAATCTTTTTTTTTAAATAGGGAGACAATAAGCCTGGTGTGAAAATTGTGGACTTTGGAGTCAGATTCCCCACCATATTCAAGCCATGACACGGAAATAAAAAGATCATATTTATATAGTGTAAATAAGAGACAGTGTTGGAGCGGATTGTCCCTCAGCCCCCCACCTTGAGGTAGAAGTAATCAGTATCATGGCACACCTGCAATTCAAGGTATCCTGGCTCTGAAGCTCTGAGCATCAACAAAGTTCGAATTCTGACTGTTTTACTTGGTAGCTTCATGGCCTTGGGCAAGTTAACCTGTCTCCACACTAGCTCCATTTGTAAACACGGGAATTACAGTTCCTGTTTCTTAGTACTTTTATGAGAATCACAGGAGCCAACATTTTTTAAGTGCCCAGCACAGTGTGAATGCATACTGAGTGCCAATAATTAACTGCCTGGGTTTGGTGGGGACCAAGAGGTTAAATCGCTTTGTAACTTTCTCTGGATTCAAATGCTGACAGTGTCTTTTGTCATGAGACGTCATTTGATTTGACATTTTTGGAAGGAATAAAGTAGACTGCAGGTGTCAGGAGAAAGTCTACTGTCTTGATTCTCAGTTAAAAGGGGATATCTAAGGTGATTGTTTAAGGAAATTTTCTCTATTTTGCATTAGATTTATCTCTATTCTGTTTAACCTTTATCTCTACATTATTCTCTTCCTGCAGAATCATTTGTTTACAGTTTCTCAAGTTATGATCCTTCCCAGGTCAGGGGCATTCCACTATTTCTCACCTCATTTGGGAATATACATCTTTACATTTAAAACTGCAAATACTGTCAGACCAAGACAGAATGTGTTTGGCATAATATTAAAGCAAAAGATGCTATCTGAATTTCACTAACACGTGAAAAACAGCAGAGCTTGAAGGATGTTAATCCCAGCTAGTAATTTACACTATCTTTCTCTTTTAATTTTCCCAGTTTCCTTTTTTTCTTTTGATTCATTTCATCTTTACTTAGCTCTTCCTGTTTTGCTTTGTTTGCTCATCAGAAAAGAAAAGAAAAGAAAAGAAAAGGTTATATAAACTCCAAAGAGGCAAATTGGAAGGGAGGAAATACAACAAGTCCTTTCTGTTCCCTGCCTCTAGATCCTGTGCAGAGTCCAGCTAGCAGGTGAATCTTCATCCCACTTGGGTTACCTTCCCTCCTGACCTGTCAATCACCCCAAGAAGCACTTCCCAATTTGGCTGGCACAACCTTCTTCCACTCCTCCTACCCTTCAGCTGTCAGGAAATCCTGGAACAATCCTTAACCTGGAGCCTCTTGTGTTTTTAATGACCAGGGATTGAGCTAAGTTAAATAAATTAATAAATAAATAGAAATAATAATAATCCAGATGCTTTGTGACAATGCCCAGGGTTGCTGGTTTCCGCCGTAGGCCAAAGGCGATGTTGCCTCCGCCAACGCCCTCCCCAAAGATTAAACCAAAGAAACCCCACACAACTTGCTTGTTTGAAAGTTGAGAGTGAGTTGAGTCCTTTGGCCTCGTCCTACGAGTTATTTGTGTGTCGAAATCGGGAGGACGTTCTGTAGTTTCAGGACGACTTTTCTGGGAAAGCCGCGGGGTTGGAATTGCACGCAGGGGTTGGGTTGCTTGCAGCTGCGCAACTCACCTCCCGCAAGGATTCTTGAGACACCCCCTGCCCTGGGGCCCCTACTCCAGCTCGTTGTTTCCCCGTCACTCCAGGTCGGTTTTTCCCGGCAACTCTTGGTGTGACTTCCAAACTTCTGGGCTCCAGGCTCACTTCGGAATTTGCCCCCGCCTCCCGCTTGCTCCCCGCGGGCCCCAGGAAATCGCGAGCACCCCAGTCTCCGCCTGACCAGCGCACTCGGGGACCGTGGGCGGAGCAGCTTGCGAGGAGGGCAGCCGGGGGCGATGAAACCATCTTGGCTACAATGTCGCAAAGTCACCGGCGCCGGGGGCCTCGGGGGGCCCCTGCCCGGGTCCTCTCCAGCCCGGGGAGCCGGTGCGGCCCGCAGGGCTTTCGTGGCCCCGGGCCCGTGGGGCGGTCTCGGGGGCCGGGGCTGCAGGGCGCTGACCTCGGGCAGCGTCGGCGAGTACAAGACGCACTTCGCGGCCTCGGTGGCCGACCCGGAGAGGTTCTGGGGCCAAGCTGCCGAGCAGATCAGCTGGTACAAACCCTGGACCAAAACGCTAGAGAACAGACACCCTCCTTCCACCAGTTGGTGAGTGACTTCTTCGCCAGCCCAGATCCCTCCTAACTTCTTGGGCACCAGGAAGTCCCTGGGACCTGGAATCTGGAGTTCTTGTATCACAAAAGAAAATCGAAATCGGAGACGTGCTCAGACTTTTCAATTCGTGTTTAGTGTTAATTTCATAATTAGCTCTCTTGCCTTCTCCTATAGAGAGACTCCGTTACTTATTGTGATCCCAGTTTCCCATAAATCAGAGATTTACCTGAATGGCAGGGGGCTTCTTCTTGGCACTTGGGATTTTGAGGGAGCTAAAACAACGGCCTATCTGCAGGGACAGCACAGTCTGGTAAGAGAGACACCACGGAAACAAATGCAAACAGTATAGCAAATCAGGAAAGTATTACTATGTATCCACACACTGTAGGGAGAAAGAGGGTTGGGAAACAACTTCAATAAAATCACACCCAAATAGGGTTTGGAAGGATGGCTATGTCTTCTCAAAGTCTACAAGTGCCTAATTATTAAAGTCCAGGAGGTGGAAAACAGCCTGAAATCTGACTGAGACCCTTGCAAATAATTGTATAGGCTGAAGAGGTGGGAAAAGGGGTTGGTGAGTTGGGAGGTCCCTTGGGAAGGGATTTATGTAATGGGCCAAGTAGCTTGGACTAGATGGATAGGCCCGTTGTGCATATGAAGCTGCAGTTTGGGGAACGCAGAAAGAATGCAGATGGATATAGGCCAGGTGGTGTTAGCAGTCACAATGGTAGGAATAAAGTTTTCTTCATGGAGTTGCAATGATAAGTAGTTATAAGCATTATTTTACAACAGACAGAGATACATTGTAGAATAAATGCCAAACTTGCTAGGATATTGAAGGTGAGGCACACACAGTCCCTGAGAAACTCAGCATGTGGCTCCTGTGTGCACCCTCCTTAAAGGTATGGTTGCTCTCATTTGCCAGCTGTTAAAGAGGAATGTTTCCTGTAAAAGTGTGAAAAATACTGCTCAGTGATGAGGTCAGGGGAATTGACATCATCGTCAGGTTTGCATTTGCCCAATGCCTGCATAATCAGAGTAGGGAACGTGGCACGGAATTGGCAAGAACTTGCCCTGTGTCCTCACAATGCCCTGTCTTCTCATAAGTGTTTGGGGACAGAACATGGTGTTCCCTTTAGAATCTGACCATCTTGCCCCTCCATTTCAATTTTTTTCCCAATATTATTCGATTGGTCCTCTTTTAGGAGTCAGACAGTGAACCTGGCATTAGGTACACAACAGTGAGTAAAACATAGCCCCTGCTTTCTGAAAGTCAAAAAGATTAAGAACATGGACTCTGGAGCCACACTCCCTGGGTTTGAGTTCTGCCTCTCAGTTGCTGACTGTGTGTTCACAGGCAAGTTACTTAATCTCTCTGTGCCTTACTTTCCTCAAGTGCAAATATGGAAATAGCTTGAGGATTAACTGAGTAAAGGATTAAGGCTATGTCTTGTATACAGTAGGCCCTATAAATGAATGTTAGAGGAAGAAGAGTTATCTTTGTTCTCTTATGCTGCAATTATTTTAGGAATAGGAAACTCTCCTAGCATTCCTCAAATCAAAGCACAGAGATTATTGCCTCTTCTAAGAATGTGTGACTTTCTCTCCTTTTCTTAAAGCTCTGTGTACAAATATCTATCATAAAATATGGGACTAGAATTATTTTATGTGGCCATCCCTACCATAAAACTAATGTGCAGGTAATTCACTTAAGAAGCCACTGGAATATTCTAAATAAAAACCAATGAGGGCCAGACCTAAGGCAGTGACGGTAGCAATAGAGAAAAAAGGACAGGTTGGAGTGATTTAAGAGGGTTAATAGGGATCAGCAAAGGCCCAGAAGGCTGCAGTAAGTGAGAGTCAAAGTGTCCAGCAAATAGACACCGAAGGCCTGGAGATTTGTTTTCTATATAATAACTTACTTTTTCTTAGTATTCTCCAGTTGCTTGCTTAAATTTTCTAAAATTGTGTGCATAAAATGTCATCTTTACTGAGAATTTTTGTGAAAGGGTCATTGTATTTTTAAAAATTCAGCACATTATCCAGTATGACTGGTAAAAAAAAAAAATTCAGCACATTATAGATCACCAACATTCGATGACAGTGTGTCTGAGTTTTTCATCTTTGTAGTCTTGGAATCACGCAGCCACACGTGTATTATAATAGCCCAGATGATCAAAGTGAATGAGTAATAAAACTTTGACTCTATTTATTTTATCAGTGTGAGGCAATCTTACTAAGAATTTTGGTTGGCAGAGCAGAATTGGAGAGGGAAGTGGAGGTAGGAGACCTATCTTCAACATCATTTAGTCGGTGTTTTCAATGTGAACCTATTAGTGTGTTGGATACCTAATTGCAGACATTCCTGGTTAGCAATTTTCTACAAAGCCAACCTCAAAGGCAGAGTGAATGTACTTTTGTTTTTTTGTTTTGTTTTTATATCCCGAAGATCGAGGGAAGAGCTGACGTGTAAGTTTTAACAATGATAGCCAGATAACAGGATACATAGGTTTGATTATTTTTGTTGCTATTTGTCTTCGGGAGGTGGTAAGTGAGTACAGGCACAATTTGGTGTGAAGAAAATTAGCTTATTTTCATTGAAGCTGGAATCTGGGGAGAGGAGATATTGGCAGTTAGGTCCTTAAGCAAAATAAGGAGGGATTGTTACAGCTAATTGTTCTCTTCTAGAAGGAGCTGCAGTACATGTATGTAGTCACGGTCTCTGATGCCCTTTGGCTAGCCAGAGGCAAGAGGGATTCTCCTTCTTTCTTGTAAGCTTTGCTGTTTGTTGCTGATGAAAGTAAACTCCCTTCAGAATCCACAGGCTTATCAAAAGCCCTGCCAGGTAAATAGTATTGCATATTAGCTTTCACAATGGAATAAGCCACCCAATATTTTACACATACAGTAATATGAACATGGAATAGAAATCTTTAAGGGTGTTATATAGAAGGGACTTTAGATTGTAGTGAATAACCCTATAAAATACATTTACTGTATTATAATCTCTGATATCCTCAAGAAACAAATCCCAATTATATATAGGTGCTTTGGGAACTTGCAAAGAATTGCCTCTCCACTCAGTTTGGTATGTACTTCATGTTGCTGACACCTAGCTTTTTGGGTAATAAAGTCTCTATTAGAGAGACTTCCGTGGGGAACTGTAATCAAAGGTGAAGCAGTTAGAAATTTTCGTAATTTCTTTAATTCTGGAAAAACAGAGTGAATGTTTTTGGCTATTTTTTCCTGATAGGTATCCTGCAATCTATCCTGAAATTGAAATACAGCTCCCACTCTCTGAAGGATTAGGCAATTCACTTTTCCATTATACATCGTGGCTGACTCTCTGTTTCATCAGTTTATCTCTTTCTATGGAATCATTGCAATCCAATTTCAGTTTATTTCTATTTCAACAACATTCAGTGATAGGATCTTTACATACCATTTGATTTTGAATTTAATATTTATTAACAGTGACTGTAAATGGAAGAGACTGTACCTAAACATAGTTTATTAGAAAATGATTTAATTTTGTTTAACAGTTCTATAGTGGAAATAGTGTAGGTTTTTCAACATGCAAGATCCCAGTTACTTACTAGCTATGAGATTAAGGTTGTTTAATCCTGCTAAGTCTTAAAATAGCTCATAAGAAATGAAGGACATCAATCATTCACTCACTGTGTGTATAGTACAGAGAAAATGATGACAGAGACAATGAAGAAACCACACAGCAGCAGGGGAAACATTCATTAACAAATTATTACAAAATTTATTTAAAGTTGCAGTAGATGCTAAGAATGCAACAGTTAATGGGGGTTATAACATCGTCTCTAGAAGGAGCATAAATGGGGTCTTGAGGAAATGATGTTTAAACCAAGATCAGAATAAGTAAGGGTTAGACATGTGACAATGGCGGAGGAACCCTTCCAGGCAAAGAAAATAGTATTTGCAGAGGCCATAAAGTATGATGTGTTCAGTAAGTTCTAGAAACTAAAAGAAGGCATATGTTGTTGGAGTTTAAGAAATGACAGAGAAGTTATCAAGAGATGGAAGGAGAGAACCATATTGTGAATGGTCTTGTGAGTTATGTTAAAGATTTTTTAATTTTTTCCTGGCACATAATACCTGTCATATAATGAATGACAAAAATATGAGTTTCCTATTCTTCCCTCCGTACTGGAGCAATACAGGCTTGAGTTCAACCTCCGCTCTGCCACTTACTTTGAGAAAGCTTCAGTAACTTCATAATAAAATGAGAATAAGGACAGTTTCTAAGGATTATAATATCAGTTTCTAAGGATTAAATTAGGTGAGTGAAGCTTGTAAAATGTCTAGGACTGTGCCTGATACATAGAACTAAGTATGAATATCTCTGGAATATGAAACAGACAGTCCCATGAGCTAGTGTGGTCCAAGAAGTTTTTGGGGGAAATGGTAGCATTTAGACTGGATCTTAGGACTTAGAGAGGAGGAAAAGCATTTTTATGAGCAGAACAGCATGATGAAAGCATAGAAGTAAGAGCCAAGTGTCATTGGAAAGATAGTTATAATAGACCAGTTGGCTTGTAGTGGTTTTTCTAAGTTACTGGTACTTGATTTCAGAAGACTGTTTCAGGATGATTGTAGAGAGCAAGGTAAACTATTTGCATTAGCTTCTTTGGCCACAGATCACAAACTAGCAGAAAGCCTGCAGTTCGGCTTTGTTTGACTCAGATGTTTTTGTTTGTTTTTTTTAATTAGTTGTCAATATTTAAACATGGGGAGATTTTATCTAAAATCTAAATTTCCTGTAAGAATTCTTCAGAGAAGAATTGACTTCTCATGAAAACAAAACAAACAATATCTATCAGTAATGGGTTGGTATTCCAGCACAGTGACACTTGGCTGGAATTTAGCAGTTGCTAGCCCTTTAAATGGTGTATATACTTATTTGCTATCCACTGTCCCCTCCACTATTGCATATACTCTGCCTGTCCCAGTCATTAACTTTGCCA